CACAATGAGTTGGAAATGACTCGACAGCAGTGAGAATATGTAGAATAAGGAGTTCTAGTGGTGCAGTGGTTAAAGCATTTGGCAGCTAACCCAAAGGTTGGCTGTTTGAACTCACCAGCCACTCTGCAGCAGAAAACTGAGTTTGCTCCTATAAAGATTTATAGCCTTGGAAACTCCGTGGGGCAGTTCTACTCTGTCCTATGCAGTGGCTATGGGTAAGAATCAACTCTATGGTAAAGGGTTTTTGGGTTTGATGAAAACAATTAGAAGTCCCTGGATGAAGCAAAAGGTTTGCGTTCTGCTCCAAATCAGGAGGTTGGTGGCTGGAACCCATTCACTAGAGCCATGGAAGAAAGGCTTGGCAATGTGCTTCCATAAAGATCACAGGCAGCAAAACCCTATGGAGCAGCTGGACTCTAATGTACGGAGGAGTCGTGAATCAGAGTCGACTCCATAGCAGCTGGGTTTTTGGAGTGATGATTGTGGCAGTTAAGGTTGTATGTTAGCTTGGTGGTCTTAAATGGCTTGACAGCTGGATGCATGATGAGATGGTAATCACCTACATGGTGGAATCTGCTGTGAGCAGCTAAGTAATTGAAGGAGAATTACCTTCAAAGTGTGGCCTGTTTCCAGTATATACGGAGACACTTTCAGAAAAGTTACTCGCTTTTGGGCACATATGGATCCTTGGTTTGACTGAGTCCTCATCTCCAGTTGCTGGACTTGAACTAGTGGCCTACCAGGTTGCCCACCAACCTTGGGATTGTGCCATTTTACCTGTTGACCTTAGATTCATTAGCTTCAACAGCCAGCAGCTGCCTGAGGTAGGAGACGCCTCCAGTGGACCTGGCACTCTGAGTTTGGACTTTTAGCCTGCTAAACTGTAAGAAAATAAATTGCTGTTTGTTAAAGCTATCCACTTGTGGTATTTCTATAACAGCAGCACTAGAGAACCAAGACAATGATTACCATTATTTTTATTTTATCTTGCATGCTTACTAGACAATTAATATGACCTCTTGTATAGATACAAAAATGCAGGTTAGCCACGTCACATGTTAGGACGGGCAGGGTAGAACAGAGACCCAGGTGGGTTCGTTTTTGTTCTATGCCAGCATCACTCAACCATTAGGTTCTGGTACCTCTCGCAGCAGCCCAACATTTATTAGGTAACTGCATGCTTTCTACAGGACCTGGTTTTATTCTATTATTATTATATTTTTAATCTTTACATATGCAACCCAAAGAGTAGCCATTTTCAGCAAAAGGACAGGCGGGATGCTGAGTGTTACAGGAAATAATGGCTCTGCTCTCTTAAACCCTTAGGATCTACAGGAACGTTGTTGAAACACAGCTTCTTCGACATGTACTCTGGAGGTAGGTGCTGGTTCTGCCCTTGAAGGCCCAGCGTGGGCTGAGCTCCTTCCTGTAGCAGGGCACCCATGGAAGGGAGGTGTTGGTGCTTGTTTGCACAGAGATAAACACAAAGAGGTGCTTTGGGGGTTAAGAGTCGTCTGGTAGCCTTTGGAACTCCTTCTTACTTTCTTAGTTTGTGCTCTCCCTGACAGATCAAGAGACAAAGATTCAAGTGCAAATTGGTTTATTGGGGAGCTATCTCAGGAAACATCAGTAGAGGAGTGGAAAGGAAGGAAGCCACTAGAGAAGCCCCTTTACCACTGTGGGCAACTGCGACTCAATCCCACTGGGGAACTCTGGGAGCCAGTGTTAGACACACATCTCAGAGATATCCATGTAGGTCGAAGGAGCAGGTGCTCATCCTTGCCATTCCTTGGCATTTCCAGCCCTTGTGGCCTGCCCTGAGGGTGGCAAAGTGGGAATGGGAGACCAGAGAAAGCCCTTAGGCAAAGAAATGTGGTTGCTAGCAGTTAGAGGTCAAGCACGGATACACTGAAGTGCCAAGGACAAAGGCATCCCCCTTGCTGCACTCACTCAAGCTCAGACAGGCAGAGGGTATTTTATTTTATTTTAAGGTTCCTGGGGCCTCCAGTGGACCGGGGACAGGATAAGACTTCCCAAGGCCAGTAAGGACTGCTGTGAGCACTCTGCATCTTTCTCTTCTTCTCTCTCTGCACAGACAAGTTTTGGCCTTCCCTGTGCACATGGCCAAATGTGGCCATCCCAGCCCCAGACTTTAGAAAGTAGCTGTCTGCCTGCCCTTCGCATAACCCACCAGGATAGGACATTGACCTACCTGGGCTGGAGTCACAGGCATCTCAGTTTCCACCAGCAGATTCCTCACCTGGCAAAGTTGTGGGCAAGAAAAGGACTCTCACCATCACTCCTGACATCTTCCAAAGGTGGTGGGATTAGCCCCAGGCCCCAAATGCCACCCCACTGCCCTAGCTGCACTGCAGCCTCTCTCAGGCCCAAGGAGCTTCAAAAAGAAGTGGAGGCCTAGCAGGTTCCCTGCACTTTGCAAACAGGCTGAGACCCAAGCCATGCTAGGACTGGTTCACTCAGATCACCTGAGCTGAAACCTCCCTCTAGGAGCCCAGCGGCGCTCAGCTTCTGTGCCACCTCCCCGAGACCAGCTCTGGGCTCGGCCCTCACAGGTGCAGCACATGTGTGGCCTGTGATCACAGGCACCTCCTCCCAGAGTAGAAGGAAAGCCATGCTGCTCCCAAACAGCTGGCCTTCCTCTCTCCTGAATCCCCTGTATTTGCCTTAACCCCCAGGGAAAACCCATCTAAACATGTGAGCCCAGGGGGAGAAAGTCAGCAGACAGCCGAGACTGGGAACATGGAAAATGGGGATCTGCTACCGTACCTGGTGGATGTTTTGCCAGGTTGTCTGCATGCCACTCTTAAGAACAGTCAGCTGGGCCCCTGGCCTGGGTTTGGGGTGTCCAAGGGCCCTGTGCTACCCTGCTCCAGCCCTGTCCCACCTTGTAGATGACGAATCTGTAGGGCCAGGGGATATTAGGATCCAGGACCCTAGTCTCAGGGGTCTCACCAGGCTCTGTCAGACCAGCAAAACTGCAAGCCTGTCCCCAGGTGTGTCCTCTGAGCTCACCCCTAGGGTGGGGGTAGGAGGCTGCTGATACAGAATTAAAAGGGTGTGAATGGAGCTTGCTCACAGACTGAGATGTCCACATGCTGATGTGCAAGGCCCGCTTGGGGCAGGACAGAGCTGAGGACGGGTGAGACGAGAGGGAGCTGAACCAGAGACCTTCATCTGTTCTGCGGGCTCCTGCAGATGACATGGGTGTTCTGGGACCAGATTTATGTTAAAGGTCCAGTTTCTGGAGTCAAAGACTTCAGGCTGCTGATCTGAGGAAGGGGCACCTCAGTTTCTCCATCTATAAAATAGAGGTGATGGTGGTGTCCCCTAATAAGATTGATTTGAGGAATAAATGAGAACCTGCAATCTTAGGTTCTGGAGGAGCCTACCTACCTACATACCTACTGCCAACAAGTTGATTACAACTCATAGTTACCCTGTAAAACCGGTTGTTGTTGTTGTTGTTATGTGCCTTCGAGTCTGCCCTGACTCATAAGGACCCCTCCTTGGGTTTCCGAGGCGGTATCACTACAGACATAGGATTGCCCAACCTTCCTTCTGAGGAGTGGCTGGTGGGTTTGAACCGCTAGCACAGAGCAAAACTGGCTCACAGGGTTTCTAAGGCAGTAGATCTTCATGGAAGCAGACTGGTAGATTCAAACTGCTGACCTTTTGGTTAACAGCCAAATGCTTTAACCCGTGTACCACCAGAGCTCCTTCTGGAAGGGCCGGGGGAAGTTCATTTTCTCCCTTCCCTTTCCTCCTTTCTTTGCCCCATTCAGATGATTCCAAAGCAAGGTCAGCTGGCAGGATAAAAGGGAGAGAAAAGATGAAACTGAGTTTTTAAATATTTTGCATGAACTTAAATGTAACCGTGGGCAATGGGGAGCCAGTAACAGAAGCATTTTGAGAACAAGTTGCCCCTTCTCACAAGAAAATTAAAAGGAAAATGACTTTAAAAGAAAAATTATTGTGATTTGGGTGAACGTTTACAGAGCAAATTCATTTTCCCAAATCAATATTTATCTCTCTCTAACTAACAGCGTTCCCTCCCCTCCCCTCCCAATCCTGGTAACCAACAAAGAAAATTTCCTCCAATAGATAAACCTTT